AACTAAATAATTTTTGATAATATTACGTTATGTTACGTCATTGGTGAGATATTTTGCCGTTCCAGTTCTTTTAAATGAAAATGCATTATTGCCATATCTCTCAAAATGCGAAAAAGAAAAATTTGATAATTTAGACCTAAAACACTTTGGTTTGACCAACACTTTAAATGAAAAACTACCATAGTTTTGCATTCAAAAAACTAAAGTTGAGAGATTTATCGGAAAAACTGTAAAACTGGCAACGTTGCGAATATTATTTTTAGATCTGGCACTTTTAAAACCCTCTGTATACAAAATGTCATAATGATGTATTGAGCCATTGCTAAGATCTTAGATTAGGGAAGAGAGTGGATACCGCGCATCCTATAGGCGCACTGATTCGATTCTGTTACCACGCCGCCAATGTTTATGTGGCAGACAAAGCGAATGCAGTGTTTGGTATTTTTCGTGTATTTTCCAGTGAAAATCAGCAGTAAATTGAAAAATAGTGAATTGTTCAGCCTATGAATTTAAAAGTCGCAGCGAGAAAAACGAAGCAGGATATTTTTATATTAATAAAATTTGTTTAAAAAAATCCTGTCTTGTCATGTTTTATCTTAAATATCAAATTGTCCTGAAAAATAATTAAAAATGCAGAAAACTATTTAAATAGCACCTTATAAGGTATTTTTATTAATCTGTAATAGTATATTGTGTATTTAGGTGGAAAAGTGACACATTCTCGGCCGACGGTGTAAGTTGACGGGCGAGGCGTAGCCGAGGCTGGCAAACACCGAAGGCCGAGAATGTGCTTTTCCATCGAAATACACATATTATTTTTTCTGCGATCGGTTAAATACCTGGTAAATCTTTGTCTTTTAGTTCCAATTATTCAGCAATACGAGAATCACTTTCCCGGCCTAGGCCGGAAAAGTGTTTCCCGTATTGTTATTCATTGATTCCTTAGCAACTATTGAAACATAATTGAAATACCAGAATATTGAGTTTTGCGACCTGTCAACCGGTCAAAAATGCTGACATTTCTTGTCAATCGCAGAAAAAATTAAATTTCTTATTATTAATACCTTAAAATAAAAATAAATCGAAAATTGATAATTGTTGGCGATGTGGCAGGTGGTAACAAATGCCCTTGAGTTGTTACACATCCATTCTCTTCCCTAATCTAAGGCTAAGATATATTACCATTTCAGTTCTTTTAAATGAAAATGCAGTATTGCCATATCTTTTAAAAACCACACGAGAAAAATTTGATATTTTAGGATTGTAAACACTTTAGTTCTTTTACGTGGCTCCGGTTTAAACTAACCGTTACAAAACGGTTAGAGAAATGACATACCGTTTTCTAACCCGGTAACAAAAAGTGACCTGATGGATACCTACCACTCGAATTTGAGCGGTATGTTGCGGTTTGTTAAACCGGAGCCACGTGAAAAGGGTTTTTGGTTTGACCAACATTTTTAACGAAAAACTACTATAGTTTTGCATTGAAAAAACTAAAGTTGAGAGATTTATCGGAAAAACTGTAGAACTGGCAACGTTGCAAATATTATTTTTAGATCCGGCACTTTAAAAAACCCCTGTATACCAAATGTCATAACGTTGTATTAAGGCCGTTTTACAGCCTGCAAGAAAACTTGAATGCCATTTTTTGCATGCAAAAAAATTGCCTTCAAGATTTCTTGCACGTCGTTATACATCTTGCAATTTGACTTGTTTCTTTCTCTAACCTTAACCATACTTTTTTGTTTTTAATGTTGTGTTATCGATGTTTGCATTTTCCGAAAATAAAAAAAGTTATTATGAGTCGATATAAAAAGAAGAAAGCATTAGCAACAACTTTAAGCATCATAATTGCTAAAAATTCCCCAACTTGCACGAAAACCTTCAAGAAAAATGGCACCAAACCGATTGCATGCAATGCCATTCAAGTTTCAAGAATCTTGCAGAGACCAATCAGCTGACTCACTTCTGCGCATGCCCTCGTTCAAGTTTCTTGAATATTGCAGAAAGAATTGCAAGCTGTAAAACGGCCTTTAGATATACTTCACTCAGTTCTTTTAATTGAAAATGCAGTATTGTCATATCTTTTTAAAACCACGAAAGAAAAATTTGATATTTTAGGATTGAAAACATATTGGTTTGAACAACATTTTAGAAGAAAAATTACTGTACCTTTGCATTTAAAAAAATAAAGTTGAGAGATTTATCGGAAAAACTATAAAACCGGCAACGTTGCAAATATCATTTTTAGATCCGGCATTATTCAGAACCCCCGTATACCAAATTTCATACCGTTAAGTATGTCACGCCGTTGCCCAGTTACTTGACCGTTCCGGTTCTTTTGGGATACCCTGTATATTGTACATATATATACCGGGTGTCTACGAGATCTTTGGTATAGAGTGTTATAGGTTTGAGAAATGTCATATTTTGACATTTGTGTCAATGTTTGGTAACTTCCGGTTTGACCGGAAATGGTCCTAACTCCGTAATTTTGAATGGCATGGCATCCCAATAATTTTTTCGCATTTTTGGTATCTGCGGATCATGATGTGTACGAAAACGTCAAAGGACCCCGCACACCTCTTATGGGTTTTTGGTTTTCTGTCAAACTCAATGAAATTTTGATATGTGATAGACCTTGACTTCCTGATAAAAAGTTCTCATGGGCCCGAACCAATCCTATGATTAGTTTTTGAGATACAGGTACTTTAATGTCCAAGAAATGTACACATTTTATATGTAGGTATTCATCATATCTACCTGTCACCTAATATTAGGTCTGTTTCTGCAAAAATCACAAACCCGCCAGAGCGAATTTGATTGGTCGAAAACAGTAAGAAACAGTCAGAAAACTAGTTTCAACCAATGAAATTCTCTCTGACTGACCTATTAATAGCTAGGTGACAGGTAGATGTGAATGCATATAAAATGTGTACATTTCTTGGACATTAAACCACCTGTATTTCGGAAACTATTCATAGTATCGGGTTGGGCCCATGAGAACTTTTTATCAGTAAGTCAAGATATACCACCACATATCAAAATTTCATTGAGTTTGACAGAAAACCAAAAAATCCATAAGAGGTGTGCGGGGTCCTTTGAACATTTTTGAAGAAATTTTAGAACTCAGGATGAAAATTTATTTTTGAACAGAAAGTGACGGAGCGGTCTTAAAATTGTTATTTTCAACCCACACAATCGTAGAAAAATGCGAGTGCCAAGATGTTATCCTTTGCTTGCTCTCCAAAGGCATCCAAAGTTGAAAAAATCACATTTTGCGTGATAGCTCAATGAAATCAGTGAAATCACCCAACTTTCACAACAAGAAAAATAATAAAACTGGCATGAATAAAAAGTTTTAATGCATAGTTGCTTTTATTTTGAAAAAGGTAAAAAACATTTGTTATGAAAGTCGGGTGTATGATTTCACTGATTTCATTGAGTTATCACGTGAAATGTGATTTGTTCAGCTTTGGAAACCTTTGGAGAACAAGCATAGGATAATAACTTGGCATTCGCATTTTTCTATGATTGTGTTGGTTGAAAATAACAATTTTAAGACCGCTCCGTCACTTCCTGTTCAAAAATAAATTTTCATCCAGAGTTCTGAATTTTTTTCAAAAATGTTCAAATTTGACGTTTCCGTACACATCATGATCCGCAGATACCAAAAATGTGAAAAAATTATTGGGATGCCATTCAAAATTACGGAGTTAGGACCATTTCCGGTCAAACCGGAAGTTACGAAACATTGACACACATGTCAAAAGATGACATTTCTCAAACCTACACTCCATACCAAAAATCTTTGCCATCGAAAAAAAAACCACCAAATGCCAGCGCGAAACTGATCTCGTAGACACTCGGTATATACTTAATACTATACATTGGGCTACCTATACCTATTGATATTGTGAAAGTTGACAGACTGGCAGAGCAGACTAGTAAATCAAAACTGAAGGATAACCAGACACTTGCCTATTCCCTGCTGACCTGACAATAGCTACGAGTCAATAATGATAGCTATTATTCCCGAGGAATATTTCCGAACTGAGCCGCGTTAGCGGCGAGGGAGTAACATTCCGAGGGAATATAAGCCATTATTGCGAGTAGTAGGTATACTCTAATTTATTTACGACAAATTAATAAGTCGGAAATAAACATGTTTCTCTTCGAACAATGAATAATACATTCATTCTTGCTCGATATTAAACTGATTAATGTTATGAATTCTATACACGCCCCGTGGATTCCAATTCGGAATCCACAGCCTATCGACCAATCAAATTCTCCGTATTTTCGAAATACACGAGCCGCAACGAGACAATAATCTAGACAATACAAACAAAACATGACTGACGTCTACTGTCAGATCACGAAACTTTCAATTTAAAAAAATTAAGGCGGGTTTAAACTTTTGATGATTGTTATTTCTTACAAAAACTAATGATTTTCTTTCGGTGAGAAAGTGAGAAAAATTGGAAGTGCTCTTGCATTTGATATCTTTTAATTTACCATAACACGAAAATGGCTCGTTGGATGTTGGATTTTTTTGTGCCAATGATAATTTTTGTTTAGAATGTCCAGGAGCACAACATATCCAAATTTCAGACAATTTCACCGAAAGCCATTTTCCATAAGATTAGTGCGGGGTCCTTTCAGATTTTACAAATCTACTTCCGATGTATAGGTATTTTTTGACAGAGAAAATTTGTGGAAATTAAAGTCAAAGGAAAATTGAAAAAAGTTGGGGTTTGTGCAGGATTTGAACCTGCGACCTCCGCATTGCATTTTTTGAGTTTCTTCTCTTCCAGTCAGCTTTAAAGAGTTTCTCAGCAGAAATTTTATCAGTTTATTTCAACAAAATAAAATGCTAGATAATTTATTAAAACAAACTGTGTTAAAACACATCACAGGAATATCAAAAAATTTAAATCTAAACCATTATTGCTTTTGTATGCTAATTAAAATATTAATAAACAAAAATTGAGTTAGATTTATTTTTTCTTCTTTTTCTTGCCTTTTCCTTTAGCTGGAGCTGGCTCAGGAGATGGCGGAGGTGATACATCCGGTTCTTCTTGTACATCCGTCATTGAGGAAGCTTCAACTACTTGTTTTTCTTCTGGTTCGGGAGGCAGTTCTGCTCTTCTAGCTGAAAGAATAAAATCTTGAGTCAATTCAAAACTTTTTATCTAAGGACCAATCCAGTACACTAGTTGAGCACAATACCAATACCTTGTTCAAAAATTTCGTAGAAATCCAGCTCCGCCTGTTTAACCATATTATCGCCGAAAAGGTGCTCAGATAGTTCTTTTAGGTTTTCTTGTATTTGATCCTCGTCTATAGCTTCTCCCTGTTGGGGTTGTTTAGTTTTTTGCTTGAGCCTCAGCTCCCTGCTCCTCGCCTCCAATATTTTTTCCCTTTTGCTTTCCCTTTCAAACATCTATATGGCATTAAAACGTTATAAGAACATTAAAGGCTCTCATTATTGTATTTTTTTTTTGAAACCAAACTATAAGGATCAATCTCATTAAAAAAAAAAAAACAAAGTGATGAAATCTCCATAGAGCCTATTGGATGGAATCGTCTGTGCGATGATATCAAAAACGGGATCAGTTACCTGATAAAAATCCCACGCGAAACAAAAAGTACGGAGAGAACAATCTGACGTTTCTTCTTGATCGAGTTTATAAGTTATTACTAGCGGCATCCGAACGCGAATCTTTGATGTAAATGAATTTAATAGAAACAAAATAAGATATTTTGGTAGGTAGGTACTCCGAGAGGAGTATATTATTGTCGGGTTTTATAGATTCACGTAGAACATAATTTCTTTATATCGCGAACCCGAGGTCAAAAATGACTCAAATATCGCGTATCAAAAGGCATGTCCATAACTTAGAAGGGGCAGTATCAGATTAGGCAGCAGTAAACCAGAATTCAGTAAAATCAAATCTGAGTTCCAGAAAAATGTAGTAATAAACAGTAAATATCGATCTTAAATTTACTTTTGACTATTAGAAAAATAATCTTTGCTTTAACTACTTTAAATAGGTGAGATGCTACAAGTTTAACTTAAATAGATAAGATAATAGAAAAAGAAGCCACTAGGAATGAATTAGGAATGTGGAAAAGTCTGCATATACAACATGTACAAGATAAGGAGGGCCAGTATGGGGATCTCGTAAACAGTGGAAGATACGACGTTGCTCAAATTAGAAAAAACTTGCGCAATTTTGTGCTCATTGAAATACCGCACTGATATTTAAAATATTCCGAGTGATACCGGAGATATCCAGAAAAACCCGAAATTCGCCCAAAACGATTTTATATTTTTCTGAACTTATTTAAAGAGATATTTCAAAATAAATGGCACTTCGTCGTTGCCACTTTTCTTCCTCTACAATATGACATTATCAAATTTGTAATCCGACGTTTCGTCTTTAGGCCACCATATCATCAGATCCCCATACTGGTCCTCCTTATCTTGGACACATTGTATAGTACCTACTCTAGAAGTGGTTTATTTAAGAGATGAATTCATAAGACTTGCCGTTATATAGATGAGATTGTTGTTTACATCTGTATAAAATAAAGAAGTTCAAACCAGTATTTTTAAATGCAGAGAAAATTCTGTACTAATTTCCACCCTATAGCAATTACGAACCCTATACCCTGTAGTCACCCTAGTAAAAAAGCTGTAACTCAATAAATCCGTTCGCTAACAACTACCATCGTTAACAGTGATACTGGGGTTGTTTGAGGGCCCATACTTTTGCTCTCGATTAACGAATTTGATACGTCTTCAAAGTTTTGCATGGGCCAAGGTCTATAAGTATGATGTGGTTAGAGCACATTCAAACCCCTGATTATTTTTAACGGCTGTCAAATGAGAGCAAAAGAAATTGATCAAAATTTAATCCAGACTAGTCCAATAAAGTACGTCTTTATAACATAAATTAACATTCTTTAGATAAAATCTAAAACTTACTGCAGTTAGAAGCATCTTATCATTTTTATTAGACACGGACAAATTTTCGCTAAACTCCACCAAATAAGTGGTTCCTTTTTGGTTCCCAACAGCCACCAAACGCCCCATATCGTGAGTTCTTAGGCACCTTAATTTTTCATCGCAAACCTTAACGCTAAGGCAACCTTGTTTTTGCTGTTGCAAAATGTCCCATACGTCCAAAATTCCATCGGTTCTCGTAGTGAAAAACACTGACAATCTCGTTGGGCTCCAAGCGCCACTTGTTAGCATCGCCTTATGGAATCCAGTCCATATAATTGAACTTTCTCTGCAGTCTTCTGACCAAATTTTCGCAGACCAATCGCCAATGGTGAGGAAATTTTTTACGAATGCTGGATTTCTTTGCAGGGCCAAAACTGGACCCATGTGAGCTTTAAACCTGGCAGACATTTTTTCCATAGCCGTTTTGCCTTTTCTATTGCACGATACAACAATGCCTTGTTCGCTTCCAGTCATGAAACGAGTTGGAATAGTAGTTTCGTATTCCAAACAAGACGCTCCCAATGCATTAGTGATATTTTGTTCTTCATCTTTGGCATAATCCAAAATAAGAGATTCAGTTGGTTCGGTCAGTTTCCTCGTATCCCACCATTTGATTTGACCATCAGTAGAAGCACTAAAAAATTCGGTACCGCTCTTGGAATTAATCCACAATACAGAATGCACTGGATCTCTAAAGCTATTTTCCATCAAGCTTAGTTCCACGGGTACGTAACCTTTTCTGGTGTCCCAGACGGCTACTTGTCCATTAATCTGACCACTAACTAACGAGTGGGGATCTTTTTGATTGTATTCCAAGCAGACACATGGATATTCTGGTTTGAGAGTCAATAAAGGCCTATTTGGGTTTTCAACTTCCCAAATGTAAGAGAAAGTAGTTTCTTTAGGCATGAAGTTTTGAAATTTCAAATTGCAATGAGCTATTGCAAGTTTTGATTGATTATCCGGAGACCACGATATCCAATTTATCGGTCTGGTAGGTGAACTTTGGTCTTGATAAACGTTCACGGTTCTGGCGGAACTTCTTTCGACCAACGGCGTAGGCTCGACATCAGAAAAATACTGCTGGTAAATATTAATAGCGTTATTTTGTAAAATACAATTTTCCATGCTTTTGAAAAGTTGCATCATAGTATGATTAAATCCTTCGTCTTTTTCAATTTTTCTTCTGTAGCGTTTAGTTTGTTCTTCGTCTGCAGTATTCACGTCTTTTGGCCAACCACCCTCTATGTGGTTCATGGCACTGTTGGTGTACTCTGCTCTCATGGTGTTTAGAGAATGTTCTGCTTGGATTGGGGCACATAATGTACTTCGGTCTACTGGATCTCTGGAATTAAACTGGATGGGTTATTCAAGATTAATTACTTGTTCGAGCACAAATTTTAGCCCTCCTGGAGTTACTGGAGCAGTAGAAGAACGTTCTCGAGTAATAGGAAAACAGAAAACTCATCTGGTAGTGCTAAAATTTGCTTCAATTGCATGATTTTCTGGTGAATGGCGAGTGTTACCTCAATATATATTCTCGCTGTAATTTTTTATTAGAGGGATAGTTGTCTATTAAATCAGGTCCGCGGTCCGAAAATAGGCACTGCCTACCAAATTCGCTACGTTTTTTCTGATAAGTGTATGTGATATCCATTTTATTGAAGTAAAAATTGACAAATTATACGTGGAAAAGTATTACAACAAATAAAACCCAAGTTTGATCAATAAATACGCAAACCACCCTAGAAACGCTCAAACAGCAGCATCTTTGTGACGTCATAAGTCTAACGAGACAACCTTTGCCGTATTTTCCTTGTTATTATGAAAAAGGGCGTAATTTTATCTGTCATGTGTCATCAGTGTTTTCAAATCAAATATATTTGTTTGTAAACATGTTTAAAGGGATAATTATAATTTATAAATAACAGCAAATACAATTTCGCTTCTTATTTCGAGTTTGTTTTAATTCTATTAACCATCTTTAAAAGTTTCCAAATTTAATATGGATCAGTTAGGAATCGAGAAAAGATTAACCCTAAGCTATGTACTCTGTATAGTTATGGGGGGTACAGCTAGCATAACTACAGGCATAGCTTGGGGCCACTGGTACAAGACATTGGACCAATGCGTAGGAAGAAATTGCAGCTGCATTTTGTATGGCAGAAATACACTTTCGCACTTTTTGGGTCAGTTCTTCTTCCCTTCTTTTATTTGGATTATTAAGTCCGTTTTTTAGGTGGTGACCAAGCCCCGTGTATCTGGGTAACATTCGGACCATTACTTTATGTATTCTTCTGCCTGTGCCTCACTTCCTTTCATGGCTACAGAGTTTTATTTACTACAAAATCCCCTAGAATGAGGGCAACAAGAACTGTTGTAGCAAAAATGGAGTAAGAATTTTTTTTGTAACAATTTTTGGATTTTATTATTATTTTCTCCAGGCATGGTTCTTCTGTTCACATAAAAACAATTTCCCAAGAAGACACCAGCCCTTTAGCCAAAGCATTTTGGATAACAACTTCAGTTTTAAGTTCATTATTCTTTGCTTACGGTCTTATACATTTTGCTATATTTCTGGATGGTTACTACACCACTTGCAATCAATACAGGAGGGTCTTGGAAAAATTTTTGGGCATTCACGGTAGTGCTTTACCAGTTATACACAAAAGGCTCTATTGCCAATCGATATTTGATTTCATGGACTATATGCATATGGATGGGGAGAACCATATGAGGAATGGATTTATTAATACTGGGTTATCTTTAACAATTGGTATAGCTTGTTCGTTTTTCGCCTGGAGTTCACTTTTGGTTGCCAGTATTTTGAATGTGAAAATGGCAACGAGAAAAGAAGATTATGAATAACTAATAAACAGAATTTTTATTGATAAGATAAGACTTAAGTACCTATACTGCCTGAATCATAGTAGATAAGAAGGATTTTTAATCCAAATTTCTAAAATGGATTTTGTTTACTAATTTTTTTGAAATGGGCATTTTAAATACCCAGGTTCATTTTTTTTACATAGGTATATACCAATACTTGCAGCTTATTCTGGGTTAGTTCCCTTAGGTTTTAGTTTCAAAACAGATTTATAACATACCTATCACTTGTAGTAGGTACTACCTCCTCTAGGTTATTGGAGACACAAATTTGTTTTACAGAAATATCACAAATATGTAATTCCGTCACTATAGTGCAGCCTGGTTAAGTTAATTTTTAAGCTTTAAAAAAGCTATATTTTACCACCAACCTTCTATCCCCTACTGCTTCAGCCGGGGCTTCAGCTAACCTGAAGCAAAAATTCCCTCAAATATAAACATTCCATCATATAATTTTAAGTAGGTATTCTTGAATAGCTTTACCACATTTCACACATTCCTAAATTAGATTATACAGGGTGTCCCACGGTGGATGGCGTATTAGACGTTAATGGAGAACTAAAAAGCGGATCATCTTGAAAATTTGGCAACCGGGATAAACGAACATAATCTACACTTTAAAAATATTTTTGTTCATGCGGTGTTGCCGCTTCTACTCTAAACTAGTGGCAACATCGCTATTTTAAATGGAACACCCTGTATGTGATCGCATATTTGAATTCTACGGTAAATTCTGAGCAGATTTTATGTGATATACCCTATACCTAAGTTCAACTGCTTTGGAAATATTGACAGTTGAAAATTGACTTTTTGCAACTTTAACAGGCTGTAAAACTTAAACAGTTAATTTTAGAGGAAAACCGATTTTACATTCCTATTCTAAATTTTCATAAACTATCATTTGACACCAACTTTGAACTTAACCGGAGAATAAATTTAACTGGAATTTTTAATCATGGATTTAATTCAAAGTTGGTGTCAAATGATAGTTTATAAAAATCTAAAATAGGAATGTAAAATCGGTTTTCCTCTAAAATTAACCGTTCAGGTTTCACAGCCTGTCAAAGTTGCAAAAAGTCAATTTTCAACTGTCGATATTACCAAAACAGTTGAACTTAGGTATAGGGTATATCCTCGGGTATATCACATGAAATCTGCTCAGAATTTTACGTAGAATCCAAATATATAATCACATACAGAGTGTTCTATTTAAAATAGCGATGTTGCCACTAGTTTAGAGTAGAAGCGGCAACACAGCATGGTCAAAAATATTTTTGAAGTGTAGATTATGGTCATTTATCCCGGTTGCCATATTTTCAAAATGATCCGCTTTTTAGTTCTCCATAAACGTCTAATACGCCATCCACTGTGGGACACCCTGTATAAGTAATATTTAACTATTATTGTGCCTTAAAAAATGTGATTTTTTTGCCATAATATCATAAAATCAAACACTTCACATCTAACAAACAAAATTGTATTGATACACAAATAAAAAAAGTGCAATAAATATTTTTGGAATAATAAACTAGTAATACGGAATGTAATAACATGAACAAAACGAAAAAAATAGGAAAAAAGTATTTTATAAAGTACAAATTTTTAATAATAAATACAGTACATAAGGTTTTATTACTGGATTTTTTCTTAAATTAATATTCTAGCTACATATTAACAACCTATTGTAGCCACCTGTTTATTAAATGTCTCATTTATGGATAAGACACCCTATATACAACCACAATAAACTTTTTAATACTTATGCTAAAACTTTGGTTTTTATTTGAAAATATTTCATAATTTATTATTGTGGATTGTAGCAATCTACGATCTAAATTTTCTACAAATTGAAGTCTGTTTCTGCCAGATCATATGCATCAGCAACAAACCTGATACGACCAATTAATACTTCTTTTTTGACCATTTGTGATTTATGCAGAAACATACCTCAGCAGTGTTTTGTGAATAGAAATTCTAAATTTACTCAGTGAATTAATACTGTAAAGAATGAGATTGAAATTTAAGTTTGTAAAAATAGATCAAATTCTAATAAATTCCTATGGAACAAATAACAAATATAATACGAAAATATCTATGACTATTCCTATGTTTTATTACAGCCGAGACTTTGCTTTCTGCTATCACCGATATTCACACTTCCATGGACAAGAGGTATTTCCAAAATATACTTTTTCGACACCACCGCAAGAATAAACACCAATGAAGTAAAGAAGACGAGAAATATTAAGCAGGAATTAACAGAAATTGGCAAATTTGGCTGTTAAAGGGCCTAACTAGTTGTATTTTTATACCAGTGACAATAACAATATTTATATGTATATTTAATGTGTATGAGAATAGAATATGAGGCCAGGATTCATCAAGAGAATGATTTTCAAGGAGTGGAAAACTTTTAAAAAACCTCATTGCACAATATATTCATATTGGATTAATAAATGGAGAGAGATTTTGCACAATTCTTCATAAAAAGACTAGTCAATTTTTACAAAATATTTACCACTAAATATAGTATTTCGACACAGTGCCTTAGATACTGAAGAGTGGCAGCAAGTAAACATTTTTTGAAAACTTCCTTTTGTGAAGTATTGTGTGGTTTTTGCAAAAACAGCATTACACATCAAATTTCTGGAAAAAGTGATTATGAAAAAATACCTGTAACAAACAATGTTTTTTCGATTCTTATTTTTTTTTAAGCTTAAATATTTATAGTCAATTCTATGAATTTTCGATGTTGAAAGTATCATAACTAAAACTAGGACAACCTTCATAGCAAGCTGCAAAAAAATTACCCCAAATTATCACATTTCCTACACATTCTCATACATCGATCTGATCCCAACAAAAACCAAACCTCAGGAAAACGGGTTAGAGATCTTTCTGGCTCTGCGGCTTTCCTCGTCGGGACTTCTAAGCACCTCGAACGGCAATTCCGAGTTGGTAACAACTTCGCCTTCGTCAGAAGGAAAATCTTCAAAACTCATGTTACTGAAGCCTTTTTCTACTGCCACTTTTTTTTTCGGTTTGGTAAATATTTTGCTGCTGCCAGAACTACCTTTGATCCTATCTTTTTGTCTATCAATAGTCGGGCTTTCATCTGAAATGTCACCGAAGAGTTGATATTTCGATTTCTCTTTTTTCTTGATGTCTTTTTTTTGTTTAGTCTTTGGCGAATCTGGTCTAGAAGTTATTGACAAAGTGGGATCGAGTACTGGATAATTATCAGTGCTACTATTTGAGAGATCTATTAATAGTGCAGTATTTTGTTCAATGGAAGGAATCTCGAAAATATTTGTTCCTTGGGTAAAATCACTTTCAAATTTTTGCTCCAAAGGAGAACCTTCATAGTTATTTGGTTTAATTTTCACTAAAGTACTAGTGCTGCTGCTAAGAGCAAATTCATCAGTCAAGAATGGATTTAAAGAAGCATTTGCTTCTTTTCTTTGCCTCAATTTCCCAAAAGGCGCCAAAGTGAAAACATCATTTGCATCTTCAAAGCTACTAGATGGAGGTATCCATAAAGCTTCTTTTTTAGCAATATTTTTCTCAGGGTCCCATTTAGCATTTTCTGGCTGAATATCACAGTCAGAATCCAATTCATCGTCAGCCAGTAAAGGCTTTTCTCCATATTGATGTCCAATGAAAATCATATCTTCATTTATTTGTTCTTTAATTGGTTCTTCCTTTTTCTTTGTTCTAATTATTCTGCTTGTGTAGTCCTCTTCATGAGTTGCCATACTTTCACATTCAGCATGATAAGCTGATGAGCCACAAGTTTGAATGTCTTCGCTGATATTTTCACTTCTGATGTCTTCTTTTGGTTCTTCTTCTTCTTCCTTATCTTCGTCTGCTTTAAGATCACTAGCAGAACCTATGGAATCGTCATCATTAGAATCGACATTTTCCTTTTTAATTTCTTTTTTGGATTTTTTATTTTTTGACTTTTTAATTGGTACCGTTTTACATACGTTGTGTAATTTTTCTGGAATATTAATTTTCTTCTTTTTCTTTAATTTTATTTTTTCTTCTCTCTCACTACTGTCTGAACTAACATCAAACCCTTGCACTAATTTTTCGTATTTGTGCCTATCTTCAAGAGGTATTTCCAAAGGTATCTGTACACTTTTATGCGGGGGCGACATTTCAAAGTCACTTTCAGTTTCAGTGGTTCCAATCAATGGGACTTCTGCATAAGTGTTTGATTGAGATTCGGACAAATATTCGTATGGCTTTTCTTCGATCACTGGTTCAGGAATTGCTGGTTTGAGTACTGAAAAAAAAAATAAGGAGTTCAATGAAAAATTGAGTAATGAGGAGTTTGGTGAAGCCAGCTACGTACCTTTTCATTTTTAATTATGTTAGTAGAAATAGCAAGATTTTTCCCTAAAAAGGCTATACAGGGTGATTTTTTTTAACATAGTTTTGATATTTGTATTTTTTTTTTAACTAGAAATTTTCCACATTTGTATGATTCCTGGCTAACAGGTGGTGCCTTATCACTGTTTGGGTTCTATAAAGCTTGTGCTTTTATTGCTTAGATAAAAATTTGTTCACTCATGATTCAGAATTGTAAATTGCAAGCTTCTTTCTGAATTTTGATCTTACTAGGGCCGATACTTTTCCTCTCGATTAACGAATTTGATATGTCGTCAAAGTTTTGCATGGGCCAAAGGTCTATAAGTATGATGTGGTTAGAGCACATTCAAACCTTTGATTATTTTTAACGGCTGTCAAATGAGAGCAAAAGTACCGGCACCCAGAGGATTTAAAATCACCTGGATTTAACAGTTCATGAAGGACCTTGATTAATCACCCTAGGAAAAAAGGTATAGGTAGGAAAAAATCGGCTGTTTCAAAACGAAGAATGGTAGTGGGGATTAGTCAATAAAAAGAAAGTTACAAAAAATATCTACACAAAAACATGTTAGCTCAATATTTAGCCCACCACCTTTGTTAATTCTGGAACAGCCATTTTTAGATATAAGGATATTGCTTAAATAAAAGACTAATTTTTCAGCTAATGCCAAGCAATTTTTATTGCCGCATTCAATACAATAATAATATTATAGCTGTACACTCAATATTAATATTAATGAACTTTCCCTCTCTAGAAGGTGATCACAATGATGATATTTTTTTAATGTATGTTTAAAACACAATGATAGATATACTAATAAAGGAAGATTATTTTTCATATAACTTAGGAACTGACAAAAGAAACTATAATAAAAAGCTAACAAATACACAAGAAAAAATATTTCTAAAAATGCTGTTCCAAAAATTTAATTAGGTACCTACTATGTTTGTGAAACCAATTTATTCACCTCAAATTATTTCATTGGTGAGTAATATTTGAATAAGTTGATTTCACTTTTATATACAAAGCTAATTAAACCTATTTAATGTGAAAGAGTATTTTGTTAAATCTACTTGGCATAAAAATTCATTGAAATGATTGAGGTTTTTCGCAGGTTTCAAAATAACTGAGGGTGAAATAGATACCACAACATTACATCTGCCTAGAGAGCAATTCACACTGAATCAATAAATCATAGTATTTTTGTGAATTAAACAGAGAGCTATATTATTTAAATACTATAAAGTTGTACTATATTTCGATATGATCTGATGATTATTTTGATATGATGGATATTTGTGACAACTCAAAGATAATTTTTATGCCAAGCAATTCCACATAATAATCAAATAACGAAAAAAATAAAATTTAAAATATTGCCAATAAATAAAGGAATAGATTTTGAAATGGATAAGATTTTATCACAGTTTAAATCAAACTAAACAATGTTATGATGACTTTTTTTTTAATCAATTTTTGCTAGCCAACTAACTAATATGTAATTATGTATTATTTTAACAAAATAATAATTTTTGCAAATATAATTTGCTAAACAATAACAAATGACTAGGAAAAGTGCCTTTTTTCAATTTTATATTAGGCATACTTCTTGGAATTATTTTGCTTATGTGATGGATTTTTTTGATGAATAATAATTTCACAAAGCGGTAACAATAATTTTCAAATAAATGTGGTCCTTTTTTCATAAAAATTGAACAATCACACATCAAACTCTATAAGAAGTAGATAATTTTGAAACATCAAAAACCATTTTTTGAAAGCTTGTATAGCTCGGCATAATAGAAATTCTAGTCAAAATTATATAAAATTTCAGTTAAATTAGGTCTAAGAAAAACTTTGTAAACCTAATCCAAAAATTAAGACATATTACCTGCGGAATGTAGCCTCTTGTGTGTCTTCTCGCGAGTCTTTAATGGAATACTAAATGGGGCTGCGCCAAAAGGATCTTCGTGATGTTGATGCATCACGAGGCTTTCTCGTGATTTGACTCCTTGAATACCTGAACACATTATATGATTTTTTTAAAATTAAATTGCAAAATATTCTATGGTCTTAAATGGCCAATTATATTAGGCCATGTTTTATTGTTTGATTGATTCACTAACCCACACTAGCATTAAACTACTTACTGCTTTGACTGCCACTGCCTTGTCGAATCTTATCAAACTCAGCTCCAAATATATGATCCTCGGTCATTTGGCTGAAAGGAGGACCACCTTCTTCAAACGGGTTCCAATTGGACACGTCCACAGACAAAGATCTACCATCAGGACCAATAGCGTAGCTAACATCACAAGTAGAAGCAGAACTTCCCATCGGAGCCATGACCGCGTCTTCAGCACAAGCTTGGGTTGGGGAGTCCACACGATTTTTCGATTTCATAGAAGATTCGAAAGGGGCTAGGAATTGGTTGGTTTCAGTCGCAAATGCCCTAGAAAAATTTTAACAAGTTTTAATAAAGAGGAAGTTTATGAGGTCAGATTCATATGTATGTGGACTTTTCATCTTACTTGTTAAAAGCAGTAGTGTCGCTCATGTTTCTTCTGTGTCCCTTTGGGACACTCAATGATGGAGATAAAGGAGGCGTAATGCTACCTATAATGCTGGTCGATTCAGTCATTCCACTTTTTAGGGGACTTATCTGTGAAACAAAATAAGTAGACTAAATTAAAACAAAGACAGAAACAGGAAAAATACGAAATGCATAATTCATCGTAGTCTCGACGAAAAAAAATTATCCTATAAATGTGGCCAAGAGAAAATGCTGGAAATATATTTCAGCTTTTTAAAATGCCGCTAGGGATAACTTATCGGATAAGACAGTTATGAGCTGTCAAATATTGCAACTCAAGAAAGCGGATATCTTCAAAACGAGTCAACAAATTTGATCGATCTCAGGTTTGTTGGAAAAACAAAGGACTGCTCTTTAATTTTGTTGTAAAAAATTCAGATTTTGGTTAGTAGGACTGACTTTATGGGTGGATATTTAAAAACAATTCAATTTTTCTAATTATTTGTGCAGTTTTCAAATGGAACGATATATACTACACTACGTATACTAAAGTGTTATGGATCCATTTAAAATATATTCAATCGATTTCTGAGGATGTTTTACACAGTTTGTCGTCTTTATTACCTTCCTATAAACCAATTCCAGAAAGTGTTAAATTTAATTTTATTAAAAATAGTCAGTATTTATGAAAAAGCCCTCGTAGATGTTTTCGTTTTTCTGACAGTTGTTAAATAATTAGTGATGAAACTTAAATCTATGGATGAAACGATTACCATTGCGATTACGATTCATCCTGCGATTATCAAGTTTTCACGATTAACCGTAATCGCCGATTATCTTTATACGATTTCACGATTGTTATTATTTGGAAATTTGCCCTCAAATATCTTTGTTACAAACCATCTTCTGTAGATTCAGAACTATGATTTTCCGCAGCAGAACTAATTCAGACTCCTGAAAAAAATCGACTGAGCCCACAAAATACTATGCAGCCTTATTCAGAACTTAACCAGTATTAATTTTAACCATTGATATTATTACATAAATCAATATAATACGCCAACTCTATTCTAAAAGTAACCTATTTACTTATCCCAAAACTTAACATAAGCAATATTGCCTCTCGTTAATTACATATTTATATTTAAATACTAAACATACAATTACTACATAATGTATAGGGTGTGGAACACTATTGTAATTACAGGATGTCACACACTACAGTTTTGATTTGATACAAGAATAATTTTATTTGAAATTTTATCCTCTTTTTTAAAAGAAATGAAGGTTTTTGGTATATTTCGTTTATCAATCGTAATCGTAAGATATTTGACTGAATAATCGTAACCGCAATCCTAATCGTATAACTTTAACCGTTTCATCACTACGAAAAATGAAAAAATTCGAAAATTATAAATGTTATTTTGGGGTAATGTTACCTTGAATTTTTGGAACTTACACCTCAATTTAAATATTCTCCGGAAGTTTTTTGATCTTGTAGCAGATTTGGACTTACACCTCAATTGAAATTGAATTGGAACGTCATCCAAAAAGTCCCAGAAGTTACCCGAGCCTAATCAAGTATTTTATTAAAATAAAATAGAACTCGAAGTAGAATATTCTATTTTAAAGAAATAATTTGATAGGTAAAAGAGTCTCTAATCAGAGAGCCAGTAAGTTCTTTTAAGGTTGGGGTCCCTAAGAATCTGAATGATGCCTTTCTTGATCCAAGCCTCTGGCCTGATGGAGTGACAATCAATCATTTTCTGAGCATTCAATGCCTGAAGAAAATGCCTTATCAGAAAAGGCGATCAACCAGGGTGTAAATAAATATTGCTCTAGTCAGAATAATTCTAGGAATAATACTAAATGTCTTTTTAACAAAAATTTCAAAATATTTTACGCCAACTGTCAAGGTATTCGTGATAAAATTTCAGATATCCTCGGAGAGCTGAGTGCGGACTGTTTTTGTGTTAGCGAACACTGGCTGCATTTCAATCAGTTTTCTCAAATCAAAATAAAGGGGTTTAATGCCGTTTCAGACTTTTCTAGGTCACAAAAAAAGCAAGGGGAGGCTGGTATCTACATTAAAGAGAACCTACCCTGTGAGAATCTTAAAATTTCAAAATTCTCAATTGAAGTGCACGGCGAAGAATCTATATCAAACCTCTCAATTTGCAGATAGTTACAGTATGTATATAGATCACCTGATGGTGATCTTGATACCTACTTCGAATTTTCGAAACACTCTCAAGTTTTAAGCAAAATTAACCTTTCCGCTCATACAATCATAACCGGTGACTTCAATGTTCATTTTGAGACTCCAAATAACAACGAGGCCAAGTACCTGAATTTCTTTTTCGACTCATTTGACCTTTACAAAGGCGTGCATTTTACTACTCGAGCAGGGGCATGCCTTGACAATATTTTTGTTGACTTTAGCAGAGAGGACCTTGAGCTTTCAAAATATGTTTTAGACGGTTTCTCGGACCACTCGGGTATAGACGGTATAGTCACGTATAGTCTTTACTACACCCTTTAACCTAGGAAAAACTCATAGTAGTAGAGTTAACTTTAGACCAATTACCGATCAGGGTCTATCAAATCTGTACATTGAGCTAATGGATTGTGATTGGCGGGCAATTGTAAATACTCAGGATCATATTGAATCCAAACTTTGCAATTTTTTTAACACTCTAACCAATGCAATGGACAAGTGCTTGCCAGTCAAATCTGAAATGATCAACAAAGATAGAATGATGATTTTTTAATGCTCTTCCTACTAATATCAAAAGCCTTGAGGAGAGAAAATTCATTGGAGAAATTAGAAAATACCTTCTTCAGGGTGCATTCTACTCTTTCGAGGAGTACCTTGATGGTAATTTTGTTCTTGATTAGGTAGTTCGGTACTGTTCTGTCTGATCTTGAATTTTTTAAAGTGTCTGTATTGTCGGTCAACGCCCTTTGTCTTGCTATTAGACTATCCAAGATGCTGTCAAACCTAAATTAAAATGTCCGCCAAGAGGCACACAAACCCTTTGTTTGCTTATCAAAATCACATGTTTTGGATAGGCTGACTATTCAAGGTGCTGTCAAACTTAAATTAAAATGTCCGCCAAGAGGCACACAAACCCTTTGTTTGCTTGTCAAAGTCACGTGTTTTGGATAGGCTAATTGCATAATTTTAACAAAATTTTATCGACAATTTTAATATTGTCTGGCTAGCCAAACAGCGAACTTCAATAGAATTTGCTGCTTTGCCAAACTTGACGGAAACAGTAATAAACAAGTTGGTGACATATTTATTTTTTTTGCTATATGGGCATGTGTGGTATTTTGAGATAGAAAAAAATCCGACAACATTGCGAAATAATGGATGTGGAGAGGCGTGATTATTCAGAGGCATGATTCTATTGGTTAGAGCCTAAGGTTAGAGCCTGAACGACAGCACAGTGACGTGGTTATTGGCGAAACTTAAAAAAAAAAATCCAATAATTTTATTCATTCATTTCCTTGGTGTTTTCGGTGCCACTGAACCCAAAGACATGGCTGTCATCAAGCGGTGTTAGTAAATATTCTTAGGTTACGCCCCACTTTTCTTCCCCCTTTCGTCTCTATCAACTTACCACTTGCCAGACTATACACATTGCCGGATAAATATATTAATATATAGGTTACCTACTTGTTTTGGATTTTTTCACACAGTCATTTTGTTTAATGTAGATTTAGAGCGTACTATACGTATTTTTGAAATAGTGGTTAGAGCGTACTATACGTATTTTCTAATTTGTAAGGAAAACAATGTATTTTCAAAATAAGATTTATGAAGAAATCTGTACTTTGTATATCCTGAAAATAACATTTTTCTCCAAACGTCAAAAAAACGTCACTTTGTTAACCCCTGTCAAGATGTCAGAAATTTAATTTCTATGCTGGTAGGCAAATCCAGCAGGTTAACACCTGTCGAGGTGGTAGAAATTTAATTTCTATGCTGCTTGGCAACCCCAGCGGCAGCAAAAGTACTTTTAGTGCCGCTGGAGCGGCAGCAAAAGTACTTTTAGTGCCGCTCGTACTTTTACTGCCGCTCAACCATTCAGTTACCCCCGAGCTTACCCCATTCATTTGGAGAAAAAATAGTGTGTTGCATACGGAGTAGAAGCACTGTTTTGTGCTTCAGCAGTATTGCAAGCCTCACTACGTTCGGCTCGCAAACCTACTGCTTCAGCACAAAAAAGTAAAGCTTCTACTCCTAATACAACAATATACTATTATTATTTTCGAACGCACTTTTTTCATTATTCGACATCATTAAGGATTTTTTAGAGACTAACCGTTTGTAACCGTGTTATAAACGGTAACTGAAATTAGGCCTTTTTGGAAACGCTGATCTGATTAACCGGATTACAAGCTGATGAACTATGTCTTTTTTCAATCGTGTTCCGAAAGGGCCTAATTGACCTTTTCAATTTAAAACCCTCTCTCTCTGGCGTCAAACTGTCAGACGCCAAAAGAGTATGAAAACAACGGTTGACAGCCGCTGAGAATGGTTTGTTGACAAGACTTTTGTACATGTGGAAACTGGAAACTATTATTTCTTCGGTTTTTTCAAAGTTTTTTCCTAACAATAGTGATTGTGTAGTGTGCCTTTTTGTAAAAATAATTCCTATTTACCGGTGGACGTGTCTTCCCATAAGTTTCCATCAAATCCTACATTTGTCAAATTTTGGATACATAAAATCAGAAAGAATACTCGCAAAAAAAAGGAAAATCCACGGCCTATCAAGTATACAAAGTAATCCACGTTCAAGTTCAGTTTGCGGGAGCTGTTTGCGTCCAAAATAATCCACCGCTTTCTCCATAGCGAAGTTCTGCAAATGAAGTAGTGACTTTTCCTACATTTTCTTTCAAAACACCCCAATAGGGCATGTCCATGTGACGTCACAAATGAGTTTGACAGTCGCCCTGAGGTAAAAGTCATTGGGTAAAACATAGTTCATTGGGTAAAACAAATCATTTTATTTACATTGATGTAGATTAGGCCGGTTATGTTTTATGCGGTTCTCACAGCTTTTTTACAAGTTTGCGTGTTATTTTGTTTAAAAAAGTTAAAGTAAAGTGTCCAGTCTATG